GATGATATCAAAGATAAAAAAGGGAAAGAAAGAGCAACGATGAAAAATAACTGTCAACAATTAAGAAAGAAAGGTCCAAAGAAAGAGAGACAACGTTAAAGAGAGCAAGGGAGAAACAGGAGAGACAGGGACAAAGGAATAGTCAGAATTGTGGAGAAGAGAAAGGAAAAAGCTAAAAGAGGAGAGAGAAAAGAAAAGGAAGGAATTGAAATATGGAATATACAACAAAGGCACTTGAAAACATCACTGGGGAGTAGGAAACATAAAGAGTGCTGCCCGATTATTTGAGTGACCCCTCAGGCTCCACAGAAGGGCGTACATTTCATGTTGTTTTTCCCCACAGACAGAGCTCCACAGCTCTGATGACCCAACCAGCCGAGTCCTGGGACCAAGGAGGCCTTCAGAGCAACGGCAGGCCACGCCAGAGCTAATTACCCCTCGGAGACATGAGGAGAATCACTCAGCTGTATCTCTCACACACACATACACACAGCAAAGATTAATCCAATTCCCCCTCGTCTCTGGTGACAGAGACTTTTTAATGAATCAAGAGAGGTTTTTAAAGCATCTTGCGTCGCTCACTCTTCCTCCTTAATTTAATTTTTAGAGTAAAATCTCCATTTCGTCCCTGGGTCAATCAATGACAAAAGCTTATTTGGATTGACCCAAGTGGTTTCAGTGCGACTGTTCTGATTCAAACATTTCGATGCACAGACACATTTCATCATCTCATCTGTATGCACGCTATGCCGATGTTTGTCTGAATTGATATCTGCAAGAGAACCGAGGCGATCAATGCAGTCACTGGTAATGGCACCTGCTCATACTCGGCAGAATAATTGGTCTGACACTTTTCCTCTCTAATTTGTTGAACACTCCTTCAGACTGAGAGACAACATACGTTAGCCTTGACAAGTGTTGCATTGTCAGACGCAGCTCGAATAAGAGCATATCCACATTATCAATGCAGACTACTGCAGCTTTCAGTGGCCCTAATGTTTTAGAACAACAGTTGTGGTAAGAAAAAGTTACAAAAAACACTTCATCAAAAAGTCGCAGTCATCCCAAACACTACTTTGGCAACGAGCATTTAATAACTACCTTGAAATTGTGTAGCATTCAATGCTAACAGAAAGCTGAAGCCGGAGTTTATGCTTTGCACAATCTGATAAAAGATTCAGAAGTTAAAATAATATAAAATATAGTGCAGTATTGAACTTCTACATTTGCATGATGTTTGCAAACATGGAATTTCCTGCATTTCAAAAGCGACCAAAACTAAAATGGGCATGTTGAAATACCTCCTTATTTATAATAAAATACATTACATTTACTTTGCGTTTTTTTGGGTTTCCAAAAACTAACGGTGAACCATATGCATCGAATTGAAGTTATTTTGATAAATGATATTTTTTGTTAACAATCCCAAAATCCAATAAATCACATTTAGGTAGATGCATAAATGATGGTTATGTGACACTGTGTCAGTGATAACACAAAATGATGAAGACTCATCAGTTTCTAAATCTCTCTTTACTGCTCCGATAGATTCAATGATTGAGTATCTGGTATTTGATTTATTGTAAATGAGGGAATGGGGGAGCTTGTGAATTCTAGTCATTTTTTGTTTATTCATTTGACATTAGTTTTGTGGAATTGCTTAAACAGTGATACTTAGGTTGAACCCGACCCATTTAATTAAAATAATTACAGTTCAGTACTAAGCAGAAATCCCCCCATGTGGACAAGACGGGTTGCCAGTGACAACATTGTTGGTGCGACATTAGGAAGTTACGGGCCCCAAGGGGGTGTGCCTGAATGATGAGCACCGTGTGTGTCATCATCATGCTTTCTCCCAAGGCTCCCCTGGGTGTCCTTCCCCAAAGGCAACACTCTCCCTGATGAGCCAGCACCACAACAATAACTAGCTAGCAGCCGGTTATGACAGTAAAGGCTTTTATGTGGCAATGTGTTAATTGTGTAAGCCTGCCTATCTTTCAGACAGTGTTGACTTTTCACATTACGTTTTTTTTTTTTCCATATTCCCTGTTGCGCAGGCTATCACTATTCATCTGTCATTTCAGAATGCTGGAAATGTCAATGACATGCAGCAGCTGGAGTGAAGACTTCACAAACTGTGGCATAAACTGGCACAACATGGCACACAGCAGAAATGTAACCTCATATCTACTCTGAGCCAGAAACAAATAAATGTGGATGTGTATGCAGGGGGGGGGGGGACTCTGATATACTTTGATTTACCTGTTCTGCAACCCCCACAACCTTTCCTCTCAGCTCTATTTTCTCCAAAAGTCACTTCTCAACAGTGTCATTAAAGTGGCAAATAACACCTGAGTGTTCAATCATACTATGCACAGGCCAAGTGTGTGTGTGTGTGTGTGTGTGTGTGTGTGTGTGTGTGTGTGTGTGTGTGTGTGTGTGTGTGTGTGTGTGTGTGTGTGTGTGTGTGTGTGTGTGTGTGTGTGTGTGTGTGTACCAGCTACTTTCCAGAGCCCCAATGGGCCATCTATCTATGGCCGCCACACCACGGGAGATAATGTGCCTCCGTTTCCTCCCCAGCTGCCCCACCAGGACCACAGAGGTGTGAATGAATTCCTGCCTTTATTTCATTTAACGCTCAGGTCCTCTGTGGCGTAGGAAAAATAAAGAAAGATGACAAAAGGTGGGAGTGATACTTTCTTTCCATTGCCAATCCCGAAATGGCGATCGTGCAATAAATGGCTAACCGTGCAATACACCTGACAACACAGGGGATTTCAAATGCAACTAAACATGGCTGCATCTCAACCCTTTTTTTCATTTTTCATTTATTTGAACAGGGACAATGCACATTGATGAAGACTTTAAACAAATAATGCTTGAAATGTAAATATGCCGGCTTTTAGCTTTAAGCTAATTTCCATCCGTAGTCCCGTCACATACAACATTTAAGAACATGACATTTATATACATAGCAAAAAGAAATCCATGATATGCAAGAGCAGCACACACAAGTATTTACCACATGGCAGTACAATATAGCAGCGACGACATATAAAGTGCAAGAGATGATACAAGAGATACATAAAGGGCAAGAGGAGATACCCCTGTGTTAAAGTGTATTTAGCGGTGATTGCACATCTGTTTGTTTCTCAACCATTCTTTGAGTTGACCTTTAAAACTATTGAGAGTGGGACAATCCCGTATCTCAGTTGGGAGGCTATTCCACAATGAGTGGTCCGTCTACGGTGGACTTCACAGTCTCCTCTGGTTTCTGCCTAGTGCAGCGTCCCGTGTGTCTTTTGTGGATGAATTCCCCTAAGGGAGGGAGGGGGGGGCCAGTCCATGTAAACATTTATAAAAAAAACACATACTTTTAAAAGACTTAAAATTGTCAAAACTCAAGAAATTGTGTTTTTCAAGGATGGTACAGTGGTGGTATGAATTTGGCTTTCTGTCAAACACCCTGATTGCTCTCTTGTACAGCTGTTCTATTGGTTTCAGGTTTGTGGCACGACCAGTTTGTAAAACAGTATTCAATATGGGATAGAGTCATACAGTGGAGGTATGACTTTAAGACAGTTAAGAAAGGTCTAATTGTTTAACATTTTGCAAGTTAAATGTAATGGTATTGGATACTTTCTTAATATGTTTCTTAAAAGTCAAGTTCCAGTCCAATATGACTCCAAGATACTTGAACTGGGAGACTAGTTATATTTCTGCTCCGTTTAAAAACACACTTCCCTTTTGTGCCTCCCTGTCTCTATGCATGTGTAACTTAACACCACCATATTTCAATATCCCTCGAATGAGGCCAAGCCTGCTGTGAGAAACACTTCATTTTACATTTAGCCTTTTTTAATAACATACCTGAGAGTTAGAAGCGCAAAATCTTAATTGGAAAACAAAAATATGATGTGGGTGCACATTTAGGGGCTAATGAGACCCTTGTAAACCAGGGAGCGTGAAAAGCTTTGGAGAGCAGAGAAGGTTTCAGGTCAATCCCTGACCCCCCGATGCCCTCCCAACACCTGCGTGTGGCGCCTTCTTCTGCAATTACACCCCTTGCCCAGTCATTTCTCTCCCGGCACTTTTATTGCATCTGCTGCCCAAGACAAACAGCAATAAAGCCAAGGTAACCATGGATACAAGAGGGCCACATCTCTTTTTTTTCCTTCCCTGCCAATGCTATTGAAACATCCCTCTTTTGAATTTAAGTGGTAGAAGTCTCTTATTTCTCCCTGGCTCCTCAAGGTTATGAATGATGTGTTGCAAGGAAACAACGCTGCAATCAGGCGCCAAGGTGATGTTGGAGAAGTTAAAGGACAACTGGGATTTTTATCCTTGACTTTACATTTATTGCAACAGAATGTGTTGTCGTGACAGGAAGAAGAGTTAAAAGACACATTTCATTCCACCGCCATGATTGACTGAACGTCTAATCTCTTGATGGAGCTAATGAACACATCAGCTAATTAGAAACACAGGGTCGTGTGCTTTTACATGCACACACACTTTCACACCTCAATGCTCCCAAACACAACCATCTATCTGCCAGCCTGTCTTCCTCTTCCTCCTCCCCCTTTGGTTGTAGAGTCTGCAGACCTAGGCTAAGTGAACTAAATGTTCTCTTGTTGCTATTGTCCTCCTCCCTCACAGTAATCGTCACAATGGCAAGTTGTATTGGGCTTTACTGAGCTGAATCCCATTTCTAAAAAGATAATTAGATTTTTGTCAGACACCTTAAACCAGCAGAGGAAAGGTGACAGAAAAGAAAAAAAGAGGGACTCATGGGAGCAAGGAGAAGAGTAGGAAGTGAGGGAACAAAAGTATGAGCATGGGAATAAAAAGACAAAAATATAAAAAAAGGTGAACAAGGCCAGGAGATGGGGATAGGGAAAAAGGGTAGTTCACAGCCGGACAGTGTGATAGAAGGAGTCTATGGTTGTCCCTGAGAAAGGAACATGACAGTTGCTTTAATAGATTCTCCTCACACCTACCTTAAGCTGACCGGCCTGTGGGAGAAAGCCTCTTCTATAATGACAGGCGAGAACGCAGAGGAGGTGGCCTTCAGAGGCTTATCTTATGCCGAGATCCATCTTCATCGTGTCCTCTGGCACCAGGGAGCTACGGCGACAATAGATATTTGTGTTACAAACTCGCTTGTCATTTGTCTTTGAAGCAATCAATCAAAAAACCTGACAGCATGCTAAAGCAGTGACACTTTTATGGTAATTGCAGGGGGGCCAGTGAGAACAATTCCCCTTTCCTTCAAGTATAATGTCCTGTGCTATTATTCCCTAACAAAGTAAAAGGCGTTATTAAGTGAGCTGTAATCCAAAAAGCTACAATGAACTGGAGTGTTAGCTTTGTCCCCCACCCCACTCTTCTGTTTGTACTGTAGCCTGGAGAGTTGGAACAGCAAGAGATTTCATTATCCTATTGTATCGCCAATGCGGCTAGCAACGAGAGTCACCAGGCAACAAGGCCCCACGCTCCCTGTTCTGAGTCTTGTTCTAAAGATTCAAAGTGTTGGCTTCACACTTTCACAGCAACAGTTGTTTATGTAGACATGCACAAACACACACACTCTTCCAAATCCCTCTTTTCAGTTACTAAATCAGCCCTAATCCTTTTGGGGCTGACCAAAGTCCTCCAAACAAACATAATGGACGATAATCAGCTCAGAGGCACTCCGTGTATTAGCTTGTTTTGTTAAGCTCAGATGACCAAAACACAATAATACTGTATTCTTAATAAAAGAGCAGGTTATTAATCAGATGATCTGCAGTCTCTGGGTGCCATATAAGCCCCCCCCATTCCACTGTGTGTGTGTGTTTTGGGTCGGTTGAGACATGCTCGCAAACAGGCTGAGTGATGAGTAGTGCTTAATCACAACAGTGCATTGTCAGATTTAGAGCCATCTACATGTTTGATAGAGACGTGCAAGTTGCTAAGGGCCAAACTAATATTTAAAGCACAATTCACGGGTATTGCAACTAAGCAATCCAGAATCAGAATCCATCATTTCTATTTGTTGTAATACAATAGTCCCTAACCTCTTAAGACAATGGACTTTGTCAGTGTAAAACCAAAGCTTCACTGTAACCCCAAAAATGGATGTGATGATTATTTGAAAAGTGAGTGTTCTTTTCAAGTCAGGTGGAATATTCCTATCAGTTGAATACCACCACAAGCGCCACTTGTTTTGTGAGATTACAATCAAGGCATTTTAATAGTTTTTACAAGAGATTGCCTTGGAGTTTTTCATATCATTTCTGTGTCTATGTGTAAACTTATCCAAGGAGCACCTTAAATCAGACAAGGAAGACCACAGAAGGACATTTAATGTTAAGCATCCTTATGCAAGGACTACTCTAAAGCAAATGTGTATTTCGGTGGTTGGAGTAACATTGTGGAATTCTCAACAGAAGGATCTAAAGAATTGTGTATGTATTTTTCAGTTAAAGAAATTGTAGAAATTAAGAAAAATGGGACTATACAGTATGAAGCAGGATGTGAATAAGTCTATGTACTCTGGTCCTGCATTGGTAAATATTTTTGATGTGATGTCTGTTCTTTAATTGCAGGTCCCATTGTTATTGTTATTATTATTATTAATATTATTATGCGCCGCTTTCCACCTTCTTCTCCAGTAGGACTCAGATGAGGGTGTTGCACTTTTCCTTTTCCTTATACATGTGATGTTTTGGTGTTGTTGTTTTTTGTTGGTTTGTTTAATTCCGTTAACCGTCAAGTGGGAAATAAGTATTTTTTGTGTTTCTCTTAGTATCCTAAGATACTGTTATGTTTGGCTGTGAATAAGTTTGGCTGTGAATAAGAAAATATGAAGGACAGACCATCTATTTCTATTTTTTTTTTAGAAAGGGGCAGGTAATATAAGATTTGTTTCTTCTCCCTGCTCCTTTTCGCTCAATGGTGTGCTTGTAGAGACATGTTTTGTTAGCAATTATTGTACATTGGGTTTTACGTTCCATGAAAGGAACAAATAAAAAATGAAATGAAATGAAACAAACTCTACTTAAGTTCAGGAAGTGCTCTTACCCAAATATTTCCATTAAATTAAGCTTACTTTGCTGCTCATTGGACTGTATGCTTCTTGCCCTGTTTGAGCTATATTGTTGTAACCCACAGATATGATGGTCAATGGTCTCCATGTCCTTCCTGTTATTTATTTTCTATAGTCCCGCTCTTTGTCCTTGGGGGCATTTGCAAACAGTGGGGCCCAAAGGCAGAACCCCATGCGAGTGCAGGCCAAACAATAAAGGGTTCATCCGATTCAGTCAGGCATGTGGCCCTGCCTTTCCGAATTGAGAAGGTAACCGCACCTGGTATCTCTCGTGCCTCCATTACGCGCTGCCAAGATTGGAGAAGATTGCTCTGCCAGAACAATAATGTGGACATCCACCATGAGCATCCATCAGCCCAACACCCAATCGTGTCTCTCTCTTTCAACTACTTGCCCAATTCAATCTGTGTGTGTGTGTGTGTTCATGGATTCTCCCTCCTCCCAGTCTTTCTTTATGGAATAAGTCATCACAGGTCTTTATCTCTGTTGTACTCTCTGTCTCTTTCCTACAGTATTGGCTTTTCTTATCGTCTCTGAACCAACTGCTTGCCCCCCTCCCCCCTATTCCCTACCCCTTTCTCGCCCTGAATGTCCCAACAAACCCCCATCTTCCTTGGCTTTCATTGTGGAGGTTTTGAGAATCTCCCCTATATCCTATGGTCCTGTGTAAGATGGCTAGGTAATCATGTATAAGTTAGCATAGGATTGAACCTATTGTACCACCCCCACAGCGCTGGATGCCTTATGACTCAGTCACATCGGCATTGTGGAACATTCATCGCTATCAGTCCTATGTTCAGGCTTCATTTCCACCCCACGTTCTCCAGATAGTGCCACGAGCTACAGGCCAACACACCCTTTGACGCTCTATCCCCGACGTCCATGCGTTGAAGACCACCCACACACCCATCCATTCTGACCTGAGTTTCAAGTCACATTAAAACTGTTACTAAATCAGCCTACTATCACCTAAAGAATATATCTAGGATTAAAAGACTAATGTCACAGCAGGATTTGGAAAAACTTGTCCATGCTTTTATCTTCAGTAGACTGGACTACTGCAATGGTGTCTTCACAGGTCTCACTAAAACATCTATTAGGAAGCTGCAGCTGATTCAGAACGCCGCTGCTCGAGTCCTCACTAACACTAAGAAAGTGGATCACATCACTCCTGTTCTGAAGTCTTTACACTGGCTTCCTGTGTGTCAAAGAATAGATTTCAAAATACTGCTGCTGGTTTATAAAGCACTGAATGGTTTAGGCCCAAAATACATTTCTGACCTCCTGCTAAATTATGAACCATCCAGATCTCTCAGGTCTTCAGGGACTGGTCAGCTTTCTGTCCCCAGAGTCAGAACTAAACATGGAGAAGCAGCGTTCAGTTATTATGCTCCAAATATCTGGAACAAACTCCCAGAAACCTGCAGGTCCGCTGCAACTCTGACTACTTTTAAATCCAGGCTGAAGACTTTTCTTTTTGTCGCTGCTTTTAATTGAACTATTCATATCTTAGACTGCACTGTAACTTTTATCCATGTACTTTTTTCTTTTAATGTTTAATTGACAGCACTGTAACTTTTATCCATGTATTTTTTCTTTTAATGTTTATTTTATTAGCTTTTCTTTTTAATGACTGATTTTAAATGCCATTTTCTTAATCTCTTTCATTTTTTGTAAAGCACTTTGAATTGCCTTGTGTTGAAAAGTGCTATATAAATAAACTTGCCTTGCCTTGCCATCCACCGGCACTTCCCCCATGTTTATCTGTCAAGCCCTGGATAAGATGTTGCTGGGCAGATTGTTTGGCGAGCTGCAAGGGCATGACTAGAGCCTGTTTGGTTTACTGTGCAGCCACCGAGGTGTAATGCAGGGTGACACTCACGCATGGGAAGAGGATGTGAGGTTGTATCACTCGGCTCTGCATGGGAATCAGCTTAAGGATTGCATTATGCACTGCTCATTGTAGTGTATCTTTTTTTGATAATGTTGTGGCAGGATATCGTTTTTCATATTTCATGGCAAGAGAAAAAAGAAGTACTGAAACATAACTCATTCATAAGGGAATATATTGTGCACCCATGTATACAGAAATCAATGTGACATATGCAGAGACTCTATATTTAACCTGTAAATATAAAACCTTTATTGCTAATGCATCTCCATGTACAGTGGTAAGCTGTCCACCGCATTAGGTCATTATATTAACAGTAAAATGCAGTGGAGGCGATAATGTGGTGCAAATTACAGCACACTTGATTTCCTACACTGGCACTAATGGCCGTGAGTACAGTTTTTTCATTGCACAGTAAAGTTTAATAGCATTATTAAATGGAGCGAAATACTGTATATCACCTCACGCGTGTGATGTAAGATTGGATCTATTTGCATAGGCAAAGCAAACCATGTGTTTTATGGATTATTGGCATGCCAAGGGGATAATCAACAGGTTTGTCAATGAAACAAGAGATCCTGCATTGTATCACTGATAGCTTCAATGCTAGCAGTTACTTATCAGAACACACAGAGGGCAGGAAACACTGTGCAAGGGAAGAGATACTAATTGGGAAATGGAAAATCCAGACAGGCTTATCAAGAACAGATCAATACTGAAGAAGCTTAGTGTTGTTTAAAGTAATAATTCAATCTTCTATGAAACCTTCATAAAAACACACTGGTTTTGTTGCAAAGCAATGCCCCCTGCTTTAATCCGAGGATCAGAGAATGCTGCAGTCCCGAAAAGGTATTGAGCTGAATCTTTTAAAAGGCCAGAGATTGAGAGATTTCATCAACTAAAAGGACAGTGCGAGTTCCTCTAGAAAATAGAAACGGCACCATGACTCAAAGGAAGACTCAACGCCTCAGAAGAGACACAAAGGTTCAGAGACAGTTCACTCACAGACACCCAATAATCAATGTGCTTTAGCTTGACAGCATCAGATGAGTTTCTGGGGCACTGCACATAAGGCCCACCCGGTCAATAAAAACAGCTCTACTTGGTCCACACAACTTCTGTCAAAGGTCAATAAACTAAGAACAGTGCGTCAAAGGTTTTATTTTGGTTGACTGATAGATAATCTTGTGAGAGTGCATCCTGTTTTAGCAATCATTTAGGTAAATGCTATGTCTCAAGAGTGCTGCTTTATTGTAGGAATTCACTCTAAAACAAAAGCTATTCCTTATAAAGTGCATTTGTAATCAAGCTGTCAAGTTGCCCTTTATTTGTTTCATCATTGCACAAAATGGATATTGGGAAGCAATTTGCCTCTTCCCATTTTTGTTGGACGTTTTCTAATCTTGTTCTCAAAGGAGTTAGTGAGGAAAGAGCAGAAAGTCAATGAAGCATTACCACAACTTGTCAGTATAAATGTAGTTTAATGTCATTGGATTAAGATTCTTTGGAAATGGGAAGGTAAATAAGTAGTCCGTGTTTTGCATTTTATTGTCCAAAAAGCAGGGCGTCATTTCAAAACACTCTGCTGACCTCGTCCCAGCATTCATACACAGGAAGCTCAGCACACAATCACAACAATGTTACAGTGGAACTGACAATGGTATCCTGAAGGCTCTTCTGCAAGTAAGAGACATTCCTTTATGTATTTTTACACCCACGCACAATATTTCACACAAACATCGCAGAGAGTACTACTGTATGTTTTCATACAATTGACCTTGACTTCAAAAAGCATCTTGTGTGTGCTGACGGTGCTGCCTGTCAGTGAGTGACTTGACTGTTGAGTTGTGTTTTTACAGGCTTCGCAGATGCACATGCTCAGCAGCCGAGAGACTTAAAGACAAGAGAGAGGGGGTGGTATTGAAGGGAGGGTGTGGGTGAGTTACCTATCATTTGATGCTGCCTCTCTTGCATAATCCCACGCTCTCAAATGGAGGGAAACTGCTGATGAAGCCAGTGAGCAGAACAATTGGAGACAGAAAGAGAAAGGGAGAGAAAGAGGAAGAGCAGAGACTGCCCTCTTCTTTGGTATGTCAATGCAAATTCCTGACAAGGCAAGCCTCTCCTTCTTCACCAAGTTTGTGTTTTCCAGGCTAGCATTTTGACTGCGTCAGCATTCTGATGAAAGACTGTGATGCCCTAAAGCTCTGTTTGAATCCTTCAAGAAACAGTCAGCAATTGTCTCTTTTGTTAATATGCAACTTCTGCTATGCACCTGTAGGGAAACTCATAAATAATCATTCTTTTAAGGCAGAAATGCTGCTTGTTCACTTCTAGTTTTAAAGCATAAAAGGGACACTTTTAATTCAAAAACGTTTTGGATTTGACAAGAAAACTAGTATGCCTGTAATGTCCATTAAAGTCATTACTCTTTAGCTTTCCTCTCTGTATACTTCTAGTCAGTGACGTGCGGTGAGGTGCATGGCTGGTGAGGTACTGACTCTTTCAGAGTCAGATTTACAAATATTATATTTTGACCTTAATCGAAATATTCGGTTATTTTCAAAAGCTTTTTTAGTCTGATGCTTCAATTCATTTTAAACAGACCATTCAACAAAAGGATAGGCCTACCCACAATTTAAATATTGGATTGTTCTTTCTTAGTAAGATTCCATTTGCATTACAATTGTGGTCTTACCTTGACTTGAAGATGAAGTCCATGCTATCCTTCTGGACAACAATCTCTATTACTTTTTTGTAAAAGTCCTCGGCTCCTTATCTTCCTGTAGTTTCAAAAGTCTAGTTTGTTGTTCGCGTCTACCGTCCCTGCGAAGAATAACAGTAGCAACAAGAACCTGTGGGCTCACTTGCGCCCCCTTCAGTGCGGCAGAGGTTATGGCTGCCTCCCCTGGTGCTTTTTTCATTGCCGTTGTATGATGAGACCAGCGAGCCTAAATAGCATATATACGTGAAATAAGTTATTTAGATACTATGGTTGGCGAGGATAAATGTAATAAAGGGATCTACAAACATTACATTGGTGACATACAGTGAGATGGTGCAGGCATGCGCTTAGGGCCCGCTTTCCAGCCAGTTTCTGTGGGGTGACGCATTCTGAGGTGAGGCAGAGCTCATCTGTGCCTCACCTCACCCCACAGTACTGGCTTGAGCGCGCTCACAAAATTAGTGCCCGCGCTAAATTAGTGCCCGCGCTCCAGCCAGCTGTGGGTTTACGAGAGGCAGAGCTCGTCCCTGCCTCACTTCTCATCGCTACCCGTAGTTGTAGTGGAGCTCGGCAAATTTGCTGATTTTGACTATAAAAAGCGATTGGAATCATACATAAATCACATTTACAAAATAGATCAGTGGAGACATTTTATTATTATTACTATTTAGTTTTTCTTTAGTTGTTTTTCCGTTACATTGGAGTATGACAGGTGAGGCTCTGCCTCCCCTGCCTCCCCTGACTGCACGTCGCTGCTTCTAGTGCTTCACTTCATCCTCAGGGATGCATGCGCTCCAGAATCCTTTGGATCAGGAACAGAATCATCCTGGAAGAAATTGGCATTTCAAACCTGCGCAACTTCAAAACTGCTCCCCCTGGTCTGAATGTATCGAAACAGCCTCGGGCTGGGGCTTTCAGTATGTGTAGCATGAAAGCATTTTCTATTTGCAAATTACTTTTGTGGAAATGGGTGCTGACCAGCTGGTACCTTATGTTTATCATGGCCTTGGCTCGTTCCAAAATGAACAGCAGGAAACTCTGGCAAGTGTTTGCTGTTTTACATTACCAAACAACAATAGGGAGCTAACATTCTCCTCTGTTCACATTCTAGCTGCCATTAAGATTGGAGACCATATGAATGAACAATAACAAATAAATAAATTAGCCATATTTAAATTACTTTTTTTATCTTTGCACGGCAGGCTAAAGAACCATTTCCTAGCTAAAGGTCATCACGCACTGCTCAACTGACCTATGCTACTACTGTACAACACAACCAACATGTTCCCTTTAACACTTGATCTGTTGACCAAATAGAGCCAAATATATCACTATTTAAATGTTACTTTTTATGGAATAGTAACATGGCTAAGTCCACCTAACTCACTGAATTGTCTACAGGTGCTTTAAAATAAAACCTTCACTGGTGGGAACACTTGCACATGCAGCAGCAGCAGAAAAGTTGTAGCATTAGCATGAACTAGACAGCTCAAATCTAGCTTTTCAATAGCTGTGATGGCAATACCTGACCAAAATTAGGGCGCATAGAACATTCTAACAGGAACACAGCCCTGGAACTAAACTCCATACTTAGATTCAGTCACAAGACGCAGTTACAAGCTGTAAGACAAAGACATGGCTTTGGTTCCACAACAGACAATATCACATTTACACCAACTCCACGCCTATGGAAAAGAAAGGAACAACTATGTATACTTTTGATTTCTGACAAAGTTAGGCAACACATCTCTTCAAGTACAACCCTGTCATCCCTTCAAATTATTATTGATCAATACAATGATTCTATAACCTCTAAATAACTATTCATCTGTTTACAAAGCACTTTCTCACTGCTAGACACCCCTTCTTAAAGCTGAATCTGCAACATCTGACTGTGCTAATCACTGCATTAAATAAACATCCGCTGTCTCCCTAAAGATATGATTGAACAAACTAGGACGGAGAATGCTTCCGCCTGTCTATTTAGAAGTTAGCAAGCAGCCCATGAAATCAAACTTTTGCGTACTCACCAGTCTGGGAACCACTTGGCGAGAGATTGACGTATTGAGGGATAAGACAGTGCCCTGATAAGCAATGCTGGCATTTGTTTGAACATTTGCCCATTGCCTCCCTATTGTGGAATGAAACACTGGGTTGGAAGCGACCAAAGCCACATACAGAGAACAGTCCCCCACCTGTTCCCTTCAATGAATACATGCATTTTTTCAAAAGAATGCAAATCAAAGTGACTGTCTCCAAACAAAATGATCTTATCAAAGGATAAAGCCAATGCGGTAGCTGAAGGGAACTGGGAGAAATTGTTGTGTGTGATTCTTCCTCATGAAAAACCCAGAATAAAACAGAATGATTGCGCTGGAAGATCAGCCCCTTCCTCCTGTATATTCTGTCAGATGAAAGACTCGTACCTGTTTTATCACAAACACACACACATTTGGCTTTGCTCTCTACCTTCACAGTCCAAGTGTATATCAAACACTCCTCTGCTTTACTGCAATTTCTTTCACATGATTTCCTTCCCTCTTTTCCATTTTCCTTCCTTCTGTATGGCGGGGAAACGAAAACAGAGGTGGTACCTGGTGATTGAATTGTTCTTTATTCATGCCGTCTTCCTGTGTAAATATGGAACCGTCAAGTATAAACTGAGTGCCGCAGCTGATCGTCACAGAGAGCTGTGGAGGTGTGGGAAAACACTGGGAAACACACAATCCAACACTCATTCCTGTCACATTGTCCTGCCATTCAAACCCACACACCTCCTCTAAACAGCACTAAACAGGAACTAAAAATAAAAGAACGAAAATCCCCCAGCTTTCAACCTGTTGACTTTAACACGTTCGTATTTGTGTGTTTTTCATGTTATAGACTGATTAAAATATAGATCTAGGTTAAATGCTGAAAGAAGTAATCAGCAATGCATATGTTAATTACAGATATGAAGATAGCAAACAGTTCCTTCATAATGATCTCCCTTGGGATCCTGCATGGTTATCCAGCAGTGTGCTAATGGGGTTGCTCCCAGTCCTCTGTGGATTTCCTACCACCATCTATGGAAGCACATAAGCATTATCAGAGTACACACTGAGCTTTTACATATTCATCATTACAAACATGACCTAAAAATAGTACTATTAAAACGCAGAGATGAAAGTTTTAGGAGCCTTGAAAATCAGAGAGTTTATAAAAACAGACAAAAGAGGAGTCGAGAAGAAGGAAACAAAGAAAGTGGGCGGAGTTTATACTTTCAGTTATGGTAAGTTGTATATGTTGTATTTTATATTATTAATATGCAATGCTATCTTTGTGCAACCACCACCCTTCCTCATTAACTGTTAGAAATGGAACAGTGTAATGGAAACTACGGCTGGTCCATACATGTCGTGCCTTTAGCGAATTAATATTTATATTGTTTTTTTCCTGCAGCTAAAAATGTTTTACGTTTTTACTTCATTATAAGTCGTGCGGGTTTGAAAGACGGAAAGGTACAATTAAGTCATTCTGCATTCTAATATGTTTTTTGTTTGTTTCGCCTTCATTTATTGGGTATCCATTTTGTTTTTTAGAATAAATGGGCCCTCGCAAAAATGGACAGTGCCCACCTAGTCAATGAAGTAATTTCCATTATTGGCTGGATTCAACTACTGTGTTGTAACTGAGCTATCAAATGTTACACAATTATATCCATTAATCTGAAGAAACATAATAAAACTTAGTAGAAATATCTCTTTATAGTGTATCTAGCGCCTTCCCTGAATAACATATTCGAGGTCATCCCTATCTGTGAGTTCAGCACTACAGTATGTGTGGCTTCTTTTGATTTGCTGCACAGTCACCTCTTTAGGACATTCAGATGCCTACATGTGTACTCCCCTGCCCCTCCTGCATTAACCCAGACCTCTGTGCTCTTCCCTTTGTTCCCTCTACATGGAGAAAGCTATCTTGACAGTAGGAGATAAGCATCGACCAGACGCTCCGAAAACACAAGAGCTAAGCGAGCGAGAGACTTTTTGCAGAACACACTCTTCCCTTGCAGCCATGTCTTGTTTGTACACTGGGGAGGTGGCAGGATCTCATGTTTCAGCAGCTCTTGTCGTGTAGCCTCACTGCTACACCGTCTGCTGCTGTCAGCCCTGTATACCCAGTTGTTAAGAACAGCATGCATTGTGCAGTTGGACTGCTTTGCATCCTTCAGGTGGAGGTTTGTGCTGCTATAACAAGGGGAAGAGAGGGATACATCAGAGGTGAAGGATCTGCTTCTCTTGGCTTCTTTTTAACCTGATTCTTTTTCACAGGGCTGCTTCTCTCTCTCATCCTCTTAACTGATGTAACATGACTCCTACTTGATGTCTATCATGATCCTCATTACACCTCTGTCGTCCGTTCCCAGAACCACACAAGAGATCCTCTGTCTCAGGTGGTCCTATATTCCCTCATTCTGCCCTTTCATTATTTTTGAACCATCTTCATTTTTAACAAGAAGGTTATTCTTATACATTAGAGAGGCAGCTCTGAATTAAGAAAGGTCAAGCTTTTAAGTATTGTAGCATGGAAGTAGATTTAGCCCAGCTGAGTTGTAATGACATTTGTGTGGCAAGATGGTTTTGGGAAGGAATAAAGGAAATCTCAAGTTATAGATAATATAGTTCAGAAGACAAAAGGGAGATAAGTATATCAAATGAACTTTAAAGGAAGTACTGCCACTTGATGTAAAAGTACAGTTGTTGTGTGTGATGCACAAACACAACAGCAGTGAATGGTTAAGATGCTAGAATCAACAGGCTTGTAAATTAAAGAAATAAGTTACATTCACTAAATTCTTCATTAATGCTACAGAAAAACGTCAAAATGCAGACAACTTAGTCTTTAAGCAATTGAAGGCGTGCTCTCCACAGCAATCAAAGTCCTCTCTCAGATGTTTGAATGGTTTGTGATGATGATTAGTTGACCTTGTTGTGAAGACGAGGAGTGGATGCAGATGTGGCTAACTCCAATGGTGCGTTGAATGCTGATTGTGT